TTGGCTCCAGTTCATCAAAGGTCCAGTTAAGCGGCGGGAGTCTAGATGGGCTGATTGGCCTATTCCTGTTCCGAGTGTATCAGAAGTGCGGGATGTTGGACATTCGGTGCTGTGGAAATGAATTGGATTTTGTTGTGAAAATTAACTTCACCTGGTCAGGCTTGTTGTCGTTCAGTGTTTTATTTTCTGTAGAATTTGTGCAAAACATATTTTGCAACAACGGGTAAAAGTGATCGTGCTGACCGCGATGGGTCCTCACCAGCATCAGTGAATTACTTCTGAATGTACTGTTGCTTTTAGCAATGCGCCTGTTTTTTTTAATCTTAAACCTGCTCAGTGTGGATACAGGTTTCTATTTCAGTGTCTGGAATTTCTCACCTCGTATGAAACGTCCTTTTGTATTTTGGTCATTTTAATTGGATATGGTGAAGCTGCAACTGTTCAGTAAAGGTCATTGTATGTATTGAGATCAACTCTTTGTTTGTATAAAAACAGTTTCTGTCCGGATTATAACATCGTCGACAATTTGTTGAGTTTCGATGTTGCCGAAAATGAAGCTGTTTTAATTGTAACTGTTTTGGCTTGGTGTCCGCGGTCCTGAAATGTAAACATACTATTTGTTGAAACTTGTTACATAATAAATAGGTTTACAGAACTACCGTTATACTACCTCCTCGATTTCAAAATCTTTTTTGTTCTTATTTGCAACGAAAACGATCGCACACGTACAGGTAAGTGTCTCCACAACACAGATTTGCGCTAAAGTATTTGGGGGATATTCCCCGATCGCAGACCTTACGATTTTGCTCCTGGGCATGTTTTATATGACTTGAGCGAGTGCAATTTCGTAGACAGATAATAGAACTAAAGGCAAGAGTATCCCGTCAGAGAATCGAAAGAGGCAAGTTTTTCTTTTAATAGCTCAGAAATGAGCGTAGAAATTAAGGCAAACTGCTGGAGAAGCTCAGCCGGTTTAGCAGCGCCTCTGTACATCTGCTGCCAGATATGCTAAGTATTCCCCTGGAATTTCTGTTTTTGTTTCAGCATCCACAGTTTTTTGTTTCGTTTTTGGAAATGAAGTGTTACCTTTTGACGGCCTTTTACAAAACTAATTTTAGCGGCACCGCTTTACAACGTCCAAATGCGCAATTAAACTGTGTTGAAGGGAGAAACGGATTGCTTTTCCCAAAAGAGGCGTAAAGCAAAATCTTCGATTTATATCGATTAACCGCTCACAAGAATTCTCAAGTTTAATCAGCGATCCAAGTACAATCTTCGAAAAATGCATTTTCTGAATAATTATTTCGGAATAGATTTAGCCCAGAGCATGTATGTATTTCAAAATTGCGGTAAGTAGACAATCTCTCAACGTTCACTCAGATAACTTGAATTATCACAGCAGCTCTTCGTTTTTGTTGAATATGTCTATATGTTGGCAGTATGCAGTTTATCACAAAGTACTGGAGAAACTCGGCAGCATCAATGGAGACAAAGCAGACTTAACATTTCGAGTCCAGTGACTATCCGTTCTGAGGGAAGGGTCACCTGACTCAAAATGTTAACACTGTCGCTCTCCAGATGCTGTTGAGTTTCTCAGCAACATTTGTTTTTGTTTTGGATTTCCAGCACCCACAGTGCTTTGTTTTATTTAAACAGATATATATTCCCAGTTAAGATTAACTAAAAAAAAACACAAAACGGAAACACGGTAACGTCCACAAGGTCGAGGATAGAATGGTAAATTTGGGACCAGTTTTCCCCCAATTCAGAATATTGCTTTGTCTCTGGGCCTGATCAGTGGCCAAAGTGGGCTTGAAATTTTCAATATTCGGAGCAGTACTTCCACAAATGGAAGCCATCCAAAGCCTCTTTCACCCCATTTAGGTGAATTTTGAATAGTGTGAAGTCACCTCAATGGTTTGCTGGCTAAACTACTCTCAAATAAACCAAATTGAAAATGTACAATAATACAACATTTAAGTACCATTTACCATGTCCCTTTTGGGGAAACCATGAAATAGATTCATTTCAAACCAGTTAGCCCAATATCAGTGTCTATTATCAAAGACTTGAAATGCCTTTAAAGGGACTAGGCAAAGCCGGTTTGGTTTATAAAGTCAAATAGTATTTAGAAAATCTACTGGAGTTGTTTGAGGATGTAACTAGTAGAATAGATGAGCAAGAACCAGTTGGTGTGGTATATTTGGATTTTCAGAAGGCTTTTGATACGGTCTGTCATAAGAGGTTAGTGGGCAAAGTTAAATGACATGAGTCAGGTTGTGATACATTGAAGGAGCAAGAATTGGTCAATAGATAGGGAATAAATGGGTCTTTAAGGGGCAGGCATTGGCTAGTGGGGTACTGCAAAGATCAGCGCTTGGGCCTCAAGCATTCATAATATTGTTACGAGACAGACAACCGAACCAAATCAGCCTTTCTACTTCTGGTTCACTTTTACTGTGATGTGAATACAAAGACCCGCAGTAGTTACTAATCGGACTCTGGAATAACCAATCCCAGATTTTGTGAATAATTACGTCCAGACACCAGTTTTGTATTTCAAACAAAACGATGTAACTATTTATTAAATTCAAAATAACTTTACTAAGAAAAACCTAAACAAGGTAAACTGCTAATGTCTATGCTTTAAACCAGAAACATTTGTTTTCAGACCCCATTCCCACAAACAAGCACAGTTAAGGGATAAATAAAAGAACAAAACTGGCCCATTACTTAAATGGGTTTTCACAAAGCATTGTTTCTCAGGCACAGATGTGGACTCCTGGTTGTTTTTTTTTTGGAACAGCTGATTGGAGTCAGCTTCTCAGTTCACTCAAGTAAAGGCACTTCGCACTCAGCTTTCTACTCTCCAGGCTTCCAAAAGGTAGTGTGGCAGATTAGACAGAGAGCTTTCAAATCTTCCTGCTGTTTTGTCAGCAGCTAAGTTCACTTCCAAGGAAAATAATTTAAAGAGTTCAGTTCTGGTTCCACCATGATAGACTGAATGTCCCATTCACACTGCCCACCTCACCCTGCGACCAATCAGGCCTCAATAACAGTGAAGATCTGCCATCTGCTTGGACAGAGGGTCTCTTCCAGACTTGCCGGAGCCAATTCTCAGGTGCTGAGCCCATTAATAGCCAACCTCTGCTTTCTGTTTAAACACAATACTCTTCCTGGGTGTTTCTGTAGGTTCGCTTTTGATCAAGACTCAGCCTTCAATTAGCCTCCAGGTCTTGCTTCACAAGCAAACAAATGCTATTTGTTCTGTTCTTTTCCTTTTATCACAAGCTGTTTCATAGAATCCACAAATCATCTTCAGCTCCAAACAAAAATTGGTAAAAGAATAAAAATAATGAAAAATCAGTGATGCTTCTAAGCATATATTATCTGACCACACAAAACTGGGTAGAATTAAGAATTGTGAGGAGAATATAAGGAGTCTTCAAAATGATTTAGACAATTTGAGTGGGTAAGGTGCAGTACATTGGGGCAAATGCTAAGGTTCAACCTTCAGTACAAAATTCAAAGGAAGAGTATTATTTAAGTTGTGACATATTGGGAAATGTGTTTACAAAGACAAGACCATGGACCTAGTGCTGGAAAACTTCAGTTTTGATAGTACAGACTCAATGGGCTGAAGGGCCTCTTTAGTATTGTATGATTCAATGAAAGTAGATTTGGGAAGGTGCAGCAAGCAATTAGAAAGACAAATGGTATATTGGCCTTCGCTGTAAGAGGATGAATGTTCAGAAGTAACAATGTCTCACTGTTGTTACACGGGGCCTTGGAAAGACCACACCTGGAGTATTGCTTACAGTTTTAGTCTCCCTCAGTAAAAGGGATATACAAGGCTGTGGAAACCAAGTCACTGAATATATTAATGAAAAGAGATAGACACACTTTTAGATTTTAAATGCATCAAGGGGCAGGGAAGAAAACATGACAGTGCCATTTAGATAAAGGATCAGCCAGGACCACATTGCAAAGTGGAACAGGCTTGAAGGGCCAAATGGCCTATACTTGCTCCTAGATTCTATGTTTAAAAAACCAGTCAAGGTAGTTTAAACAGGACAGTGAACATGACAAAGTACCTTTACCAGTCTTCACGTTAAATACACCAGCAATTAAGACAGCTAAAGCATGATGTGTTGAAGGCCTGATCCTCAGTCCGAGAACAACTGCAGAGAGAGAAACAGTTAAAATTTCAAGTCCAATATTACTTCTTTGGAACTGAAGAGAGGTGGAAATGTGATGGGTACATGTCATTGACAAAGTTTGGAGGTTGGGAAAGGAATAGACAAAGTCAAGGAAAGATTGAAGAAATGAGGGAGATGGTTACAGTGAAGAAACAAAGTACTGATCCACAGTAAGTGCTAATAGCCGAATAAAAGTTAGCTGTAATTGAAAGCTAAATCATGAAAACAAGCTACACACACACTGCGTGAAAGGAAAATAAAATAAAGGAGGATAGAGTTCATGGTCTGAGATAAAATTTGATGTCAAACCAATAAGGCTGAAATGCTTAGAAGAGTCAAATTAGATTCAAAATCATTGACTGTTCCTCTTTTCACAGATGCTGTTTCTTCAGAAATATCTTTTTTTAAAAATCTCCAGCATCTGCAGTACTCTGCTTTCAATTTAGTATTTAATCCTGGAGTTTTTCTAAAGATGTTCCAACTATTATTTCAGTTACAACAGAAATTTAGGCCCTTAAAATTGCAGGTAACTGCAGTTACGACAACCAGTGGGTATTTGAGCCAAAGATCTATATCTCCAATCTCAAGGTACAATCAGGAGCATCTCAGCTGTTTTAACAAGTGATAGAATGCATTTTCTCCCAAGACCTGGGCTCTGGGGTAGCTGGAGATAGAAATAGTTAGCTAACATCCGATAAATTGCACACACTTTCTTTAGAAACTGGAAGACAGAACTGCAATCATTCAAGTATTTTTGCTTAAAACAACTTAAAAGCAGCACAAAAAACTGCATTCTAAACATTTTAGAAAAAAAAGATGGTTTATTGCAGTAAACATTTCAACTAGGCAACATTTCCAACACCTTAGTTAATAAAGTCACTTTGGAAACTTACATTTAAACGCAAGTAAAAGCTTAAACGTTACAAACAAAACCCCTTCTGAGATCAGTGACTGACTTGGAAAATTACTGGTAACTAAATGCTAGTTTTTACAGTGTTGCTGTGGCACAGCCATTTGTTTGGACAATGACCATGCTACACATACTACGTCAGCTTTTTTTTTTTTTAAAACTTTTATTTTACACAACTGAATGATGAGTCAAAGCTTCCACTTCAACATGACGACAAGCTGGTACAAATGTGTCCATACTATATACAAAACTGGACAAAGCAGACACATTAATACTGCACACACGTTGATGTCTGGCAGATGGCTCATGCACAAGTCTCAGTTGATGGGCAGCCTGCTCATGCTCAGGAGGACCTTGTGGTGTTATTTGGCAGAGCGTCTGGTTGGTTCTGATGCTGTGGGAGGTGGGGGAGGGCCTCGCCGATCAAGATCATCAATGTAGGCCATAATGAGCTTGCGTCTCTCCTCAGGCACACACTCCAACACCAAGTACCGTTTGTCATTCTGAAGGATCCTTTCAATGTCTTTTAGATGTTGATCTGACTCGTGCAGTAGTTTTTTTGACCTTGGAGAGAGTAATAAAACCCAGCACAAATTTACTTATGTCAGATAATACAAGCTCTTCAGAAATCTATTCAGCAAAAGGAATATGGTTCACTTGAAAAATTCCATACTTTCCCACCATCTCCCTCAGAAAATAACAGACATCAAAGGTTTCCTAGATTAGCACAACAAAATTAGCTGCTTTTTTATTTATTCATTCACAGGATGTGATCATCACTGGCTAGGCCAACATTTACAGCCCATCCCCAGTGGTCCTGAGAAGTTGGTGGTGAGCCGGGCTGTGGATATTTTTAACCTACCTTACAGGACCACCTCCAGCTCAATGTCTGTCCCCTCTACTGTCAGTTCACAGGCCACTCATTAGTGCTACTCTTAATTAGTTCTTTTGATAACTTATACTCTCATTAAATATCTCCACCCTACCTCCTGTGCCTCAATGCTCTGTACACAACTCACTAATTAAGGCTGATGAGAAACTGATATATTTTAAACTTTGAACATAAGAAACATTCAACATTGCAGGATGTAATATAATGCAACCTAACATTTAATATGCAACTTTTCTGGCTAGACAGGTAACCATTCGGCTGCCCCTGGTCCAACCTCCCCCTCTTCAGCTGTTTGAGATTACACAATTTGACATTTGCTCATTTACTCAAAACATTTGAAAAGGTTTATTCCCTGACCTATGAGTGTACCACGTACATCAAAAGCTGCACTAAGGACATGATGCACAATGGATACAACTGTGCATGCGCAGATTGATAGTCATAGAGCACGGAAACAGGCCCTCTGACCCAACTCAGCCAAGCTGATCACAGTGGGCATTTTCATTGACTGCTTTAGGAAACAAACATTCCATTAAAGAAAGAATGACAATTAAGTCCAAAATGCCATTCAGCCAATAGCTGATCTACTTGAACAAGTTTTCTTGCAGCCATTAAAGCTTATTTAAAAAATTCTTTTCATTCACAGGACTCAATATGAACAATCATACTTCTGTGACTGTCTACTAATCCATCATACTTTTATAACTGAATATGCATGTTACCCAGCTGAAGTGCAGATGCAGCTTCACGTTTCAAGAAGTTTTGCCTCTTGATTCAGCTCTAGTTATATGCACTTTCCTTCCCCTAGACTTGTGCACCTGTGCTAATAAGTAGCACAAAATGAGAACAGGCATCCTTTAGCAAATTGAACAAGCACCCTGAATACTTTACCTGATTTATGTGATACAACTGGATGAGAATGTTTTGGTGGTGAACGTACCAAATGGTGGGAGACAACTTGAAACAAGGGTGGCAAAATAACACACACAATACTGGAGATCGATTATGACAGCAACTGCAGCTTCCTGAATAACAAGCCAAACATGTCTCCTTTTACTCAAGTCAAAAACACTTGGACACTCTAAAGTACACCAGATTTTGCTGGCAATGAAAGCCATTAAGGCAAATATTGAAAGCAGCAGTTTACTGTAGTCCTCAGTGACAGCAGGCATTACTCACCTGTAAGTAATAAATTTGGTCTCCTTCAACAGTGTCCTAAAGTCAGCTTTGGCTGTGATGTATTTATCTCGAATGTATTCTTCGAACTCTCTCTGCTTTTTCTGAAAAACAATAAACAAGTGAAGGGCTGGACTGAGGTGAATGACTGAAAACTTTGCATCATTAGCAGATATGGCCATTACCCTATCACTAGACGAGAACTTGATGCAGCGAGGATCCTCTTTGATGACCTTTTTCACTTCCTTCCATGTAGAGGTAAGAGTAATCTACATTTAAAAACAAAAAGAAATATGACTAACAAATAGGGAACTTAAAACAATCACCAGCTACATGAAATAAATGAGCTAGGTAAATACTATGAGTACATGAGCAGCTCGGAAGCAGCTACTCTGTGGTAGGGGACTCCGGCAATGTCCTTTCATGATCTGCATGTCTGGAATGTGATAACATGTTCCTAAATGAGTGTATTTCCAGTATCATTCAAGAAGTTTGAACCATTCTTGGCAAAGCAACCTGCCTGATTGCTACACAATCCACTACAAACTTGAACAGCTTCTATCCGAGCATAATCTGGCTACACAGTGTAGCATGTAGAAAACGCACTGCGGCAGTGCTGCAAGGTTCCTTCAAGAGCACGTTCCAAACCCACAATCTCTGCTACCTGGAAGAACAAGGGCAGAAGGTGCATGGGAACATCATCATGACTTAGAAATATGTTGCTACTGAGTTAAGTCTGTGAATGGTTCATAACTACTTTCTCAAGGGCAAACTGATATAGCAATAAGTGCTGGCCTCGCAAGTGACAGTAATTGTGCAAAAACTGTTGTTCACCTCAATCTTATTCCTTATTTTCTGGTTTAATTACTTACACCTGAAAAGTCCTCCACAACTACTTTAGAAGTTATTGACATTTGCCTGCATAAGTCAACTAATTCAACATAAAAGAGATGTTTATATTTTCACAATATAGCACTGCATAACTTCAATTATTATGAAGAGAAACATACAAGTAGTATTTCTTGATATTTAAAGCACATGAATGTACGTGTTCGTATTATTACTCTATACAGAAGGAACTTCTTACAAGCAGTTCCACTGCAATCTTTGCACACAATTCATGTTTCCATGCAGAATCAAGATACATGAAGATTCAGAAAGGAGGATATTAATAACGAACTATTCATACACACCGCTGAGGTTTCATCCAGAAGCTGTCTAAAATGCTCCCTCTTCTTCTTTGTAAGCGCTTCTATGTGCTCACTAAATAATTTCTCCTTCTCTTCTCGTTCCAGTAATGAAGCAGACTCCCAGCGGTGGTCTTTGCGAAGGGTCCTCCGAGTATCTGACCATGTCACATCGGAAGAACGGACCTGTAGAACACAAAGAAGCATGAAGAATCACATTCTTTTGTGAAAAAGGGAGAAACAGCGGTGTATGCATAATGCAAATATTCTTTTTCTCAATAAAAAACTCAAATTAAGGCAAGGAGTAACGTAAAGACATTTGAGCTGATTTAATTCAAGTTTATGATGATATTACAGTTATAGAGAATCACTCGCCAGCAAGGGAAAGCTGAACTTTCCCACCAAACGACATTCGAAAGCATGTTGTATCAAAGTGAAAGGGAAAATGAGTTTCTGGAGAGAAATGTGATTGAGGGTCAAGCCAGGAAATTTGACAGATAGCATTCATCTGTAAACAGAGGCAGAGACATGTTGGACCAAATGACCCTTGCCTCACTCCCCAAAAATAACTTTGCTTTACAGTGTTTGATGCAATGGGTATGACATACACTCCCAAAAAAAAGTAAAAAAGTAAAATAAACTTACCAGATTTAAGCTGCTATGTTAGGAAATACAGCAAACTTAGTTTTAACCGGCACCACATTGAACCAGCACTCTTAATAATCTAGCAAAAATTACATATCTCAAATTCTGGAATTTTACTGCATTATTGTGATTTCTGCGATGCCCGAGTAGTCAACTAAGGATGTGAGAAGGCTCTCTGCTGATAAGTTTTATTTAAGGCAAAGTTGCATTATTATTTAAGTGAGTTATGCTGTAAATAAAGTACAACATTGATGTGTATACCACTGCACTATGTTTCTATTACTTGGTGCGTTTTTACATTAATTATGTGGACCGCTTGATCAAATGGAATATTTCATCAGCCAGCACACTCCTGGTCCCATAGGTGCCAGTTAATAAAAAGTTTGCTCTAAAATCAATTCAAAGCAAATGAAAACTCCAATAGAGCCGAGTGAATTACATTTTAGCTGCAAATCCTTCACTCAGGAGGGACAAACTGCCCTACAATCATAATTGTTGCTTGATAATAAATTATGATTAAGAAAAGTTACCCAATTTCAGCTAAGTACCAAAATTAGCTCACCCAAAGTAATAGTAGGTAACCAGGAAAATATGTTATTGTTTGGTACTATTTCACAACAAGTCAATAAATTCTACATGTAAACAGATACAACCAGGATTGTACACTGGCTTTTGAGCAAATCTATTTGCATACACAGACTTATTACCATATCAGACAGTAAAGCTTTGAAATTCTGGATAGCTTCCTCTCTCTTGTGCTGTTCTCGTTCCCGATCAATTTCCTTGGTCTGCTCTGAACGAGCTTTCTGAACCTCTCTCTCCCTCTCTCGTAAACTTGCTTCTATTCGTGCTTGGCGCTCCAGTTCCTTCTCCTTATCAGAGTCTATGTGCTATCAAGGAGGAACAAGATAGTGGAGTTTAAATGGTGATTTTAGACAAAGCATTGCATTTTAAATTAGAATGGTTCCTAAAAATGCACATTGTTGCTTTTTATTAAGCATGTTAAGTGACCATTGTGAATTGCACATCTAAGCAGGACAAAAGAAGTAGGCAAGCTAAGACAATGCTAAAACCAAACCTAAAATATCATTGTGGTGACAAAAAGCTATAGGAAATCTCACACTGTAACAAACGTGCTTTACTGCCATACAATACCCTTCATGAATAATAAGTTATCTCTGCAAATTGCTCTGCATCACTAGCACCAACTGATAAAAAAAATACAACTGACATTTGGAAGAATGAATTCAGTCATCGTACTACTGGTCAGTTGATGTCAACATGGCATGAAAATGACCTAAGTATACACAATTATACTTTACAGAAATCCTGACAACTGCTTTTACCAGTCTTTAAAAAAATGCAGGTGCAGCTGGCAAGGCCAAAATTTAATGGTTGTTGTCAGTTACCTTGCGGTGTTAATGGGCCTCCTCCTCAAACGGAATTCTTTGCAGCATTTTTGATGAGAACGAGTGAACTTGCCAAATCATTTCACAGGGGGCTAACAGTCAACTTCACCATGTGGGACTGGCATTATATTTGACTCATACAAACACATTCGAGGAACAAATGTACAAGAATCTGCCAACTTAATTGTCACTTCTACAGACACCAGATTTTTCAAAAAAAATCTAGATTTAAAAATAATAAATCAAACTCTCAAGTTGCTGGAGTGGTATTTGAATTCACATTCTCAGGATTATTAGACAAGTAACATAGCTAATACACCAATACACCCGCACAAAGATGATCCAGTCTTTCCATTCAAACCAGGCATTAAAATTCACAAAGAACAAGGCTGCAAAAAGACTCTTGACAGCAGTCAAGATAATCAAGAGATAAACACGAACATAATTCTTTCTTCATTGCCCATCACTGTATTTTCCTTGCCTTCCTGCTGGTTTTGACAGGTACAGGATGTGAAAGTCTGAATCATGCTGTGAAGCTGCTGATTATGCCACACAATCTGGAATAAGTAACTATTAACAGGTTTGCATATAGGAACACCTGATGCAAGTACTCCAATCTGTTACTGGAACCCTTCATCCCTATCGCTCAGGTAGCTGCTAATTCTCTGTCAACTCAGTGAAAACCCAGTCACCCAAAGATGGCAATGGAAGTAGCTTCCAGAATAATCCAAATCATTCACTGGCATTGATACTGTAGATGCCAATAAAAGGTAAGTAACTGAAGAACAATACAATTATGACATTAAAAATAACTTTAAAACAATTTCCTTTTCATCTCTTCTGCAGGCAATTGATCTTCACTGGCTCACAATGCACAGGCTCCTACCTGTTGCTCTCCAACATTTCATTCCAATGATCATTCCTCACATGCAAGTATTGCTGCAAAGAGAGACATGCTGTTGAAGTTCATTGTCTTGTATCCATCAGGAAAAATGCAAGAATGCCAAATTTCAAATAAAGCAATTTATACTACAGGAATAAAAGGGTGTTCATTGGTTGGAAAGTTGACTCTGTTTGACCAAGGTTTTGCAATGGAGACAAAATGGGAGAATTGTAGACTCAAGGCTTTTAATTCCTAAAAGGTGGGAGACTTGGACATATTTCTTTTGGTTACAAAGAACAGGCCCTTAAATGTGAATGCATGCTACATCTCGCAAGCATAAATAAGCCCTACTTGGAGCTCAGCTGGGAGTCTTAAATTGGTTGTTAGTACAGCTATTAGTGCACTCAAGATTGTTCAATAAGTGCTTACCCAATCACAGGATCACATCTAACAACTGATGTTTATTTTGTGTTTTGAGGTCAGTCCAAAAAGACATTCTGCCCACCACACAACTGATTAATATTGTGCATGAATTACAATGCCAATGTGACACCAGATACGCAGGCTGTCCATCCGAACGATTGGCTGATAAAATCGAACAGCTTGTTCCATAGCTTTTCATTATAGGCAGAGTAGATGTACACAACCAGCCCTCTGTGCTTGTAGAACTCAAAGCAAATGCCTTTTGTTACACCTGATTCTGTGATTGGCAACATTTGCTAAAAAAAATCCGAACTGTGCTAATATCTAAATGAACTACCAATTTAAGATGATTAGTTGAGTTTGTAATGTGACTCACTTATACTGGTAGAAATTACATCCATTCCAGTTCAGGAGCATGTACACCCATTGCTTTCTCCATGGGAATGCCTCAACAAGAGTTAACTTGTCAACCAATCAGCACCCTTTCTACCTTTTGTATAAACAGTTGTGACTGAAATGTGGCATTCTTGCGCTTGTTCTGATGAATACAAGGCAAGAGTCTTCAACAACATCTCTCTCTTTTCAGTAAGTCAAATTGTGCACTACCAAGCAAACCATTCACCTGAGCGTGTTGGTGGCTTTGGACCATGGAGAGTGATGCAATCAAATCCCTGTCCATATCTACACCCCTGCATTTTATTCAATGTCAGCAATCACTGACATGAGCAGGAAGCCTCAATGCTGTCAGACCACATGAGGAGGATAAGTAACACCTTTTACTGATAGCTACTGAGTTTACCAAGACCTGTGAGACTCAGAATTACACTTGGCATTGACCCACTGAAGTCGATGAAGAACCATGCTTTGCACTCTTTAATGCACAACTCTTACCTTAGCTAGCTTCTCCATATACTGCTTAAAGAAATCCTCCCTTAGCCCAGAGCTATCCACAGCTTTGTAACGCGAGTCACTTTCAAATTTCTCCTTCACTTTGCTCCAACGTAACTGACTGTCCAGGTGATGCTCAGACAGCATGTCGAAGAAGTTGCCTTTTAGCTGCTCAGTATTGAGGATTTGATGAGGGGAGAAAACAAGAATAAATCCAAGTCAGGAAACAGTTTTGCAACTGTGCTATTTTAGTCACCATTGCATTTACTCACCTCACACTGAAGGAAAGTGAATACACCCTCCACACTAAAGTTATAACTACCTTAATAAAATATTGCATGGAATGCTAATTTTTATTTTATAGATCTAAGCCTAGTTAATAGAAGATCCAATTTTTACGGGGCAGGGTCTTTATAGCTTTATCAAATCCTTCAAAATTAACTACAAATTATAAGTTTTAGCTCTACTGAATTAACTTTTTTAAAATAGCTTTTTTTAAAAAAGAACATTGGTGCTAATACATTCATTGTTTGCAATTTTTTTAAAACATCTTAGGATTAATTAGTTTCTTGATTTATTTCAACACATTACTTAAGCCACTGGCACCATATGCAATAGCTTAGTGAGTGGGATGTTTCACAAAGCCAGTCAATACTGCTCTAGGATCCACAGTTACAATGCAGTGAAGCTGGGGTGATTGCTGCTCAGCTAAAGATGGAGGTGCCTCAGCTGGCAGCCAGAGACAGAGAGCTCACTCCAGGACAGCAAAAGGCAGACAGTACAGTGCCAAGCCACCAAAGAGTTTCAAATTCATGACCAGCCCATTTTGAGAGGCATATGCTTGCTCCTGCAGAGAAATCTTCCAAACTGATTTGAAATTAACTAAGTTTAATTAACTACACATTAAATATTCAATTCTGTTCTTGGAGCAAAACAGGTTCTGTGATTGAACACCATTTTTCAGACAATCGATTTCCATTAAAATGCAACACAACAATACGATTTAGTTGTTTAAGGATCATTTTAAAATTAGATACCAATACAGTAGCTTCAGACAATTTGTGTACAAAATGGATGAAATTCATCACAAATTAAAAAGCCCAGAAATATTGTAAAATTATTTTGTACAAATCCACAATTGGTAGAAACAGTTTCTTTTTAAAAACACAATAGAGAAATTTAAAAATAAACATTTAAAACTCGATCTATGCTTTAAATTCTAGGAACATTGCAGCCGATTTTAAAGTATGGGGGTTTTAAACGCAAGGTTAAATTGACATACAGCAACTTTAATGCGTCTATATGACTGGGGATTGTATACATCTACCAGTTAAGGTAATTACTTATTAGTGTTTTAAATTAAGCATATTATCAGTATACGGATGTGTGAAGCTTGCTGAGTCTAAGTATAGTTATATTGTCAATTGATTCAGTACTTTGGTTGCTGCTGAAAATGAACAATACAATGTGAAAGATCTGAAACATATTTAACCAAATTTCTTTCCCCACCTGAAAGCTTACTTCAAAAAGAAATAAACACATGTTTTACAGTTAGAGCTGAAAAAAATCCTTTCACACTGCATATATTGGATTTTAATGGTAGCACTGCTCCAAACATTTTTTCCATTTAATTTTAAAGGATGTTTCAAGATGATACATTAGAAACAAAGCTGGACTGATTGATACATCAGAAATAATAAACAGACAATTGAATAGGAACAGAAAGGAAATGCAACTGGCAAGCTTGGCTCGTGTTTAAGCACCAAATACGAACTTGTTTAATGCCACTTGCACAGTGAAACTTGCACTCAAAACAAGGGAATGTCAGTACTACTGAAAAGGACGTTATTCAGCATCAATATCAGGTATTCACAACTTGCAGTGAACAAAATCCCAGCAAGGTACCTCTCAACAAGGCTGGCCATTCAAAGGCAAGCTTCAGACAGCAATATCTTAACACCCACCAGATGCTGGGCAGTATTTAAGAGGAACACTGGGCGTTAAGCAGTCATTAAATTTGCTGCTTTGCTTAAATACGTTAAAAGTGGCCCAAATGCATGAAACAGTGCTGGGTAAACTGACTGAAGTCAACACATTGTCACATTCTGTTCCTTCAGTCTTGGTCAGCTAAAGGAAGTGTCATGTCATTTTTATTCCAAACATTTTAAGTTAATTCATTTCTTCCCTTCACCCTCACCCACTTAACTTGGTTTTCTCTTGCAAATATGCTCACCCTTTTTGGGGATAGCAAGAACTGCAGATGCTGGAGTCAGAGATAACACAGTGTGGAGCTGGAGGAACACAGCAGGCCAGGCAGCATC